CCCGAAACCTTATTCTAATTATGAAGGCCCCTACATTAAACCTGATGGCCATTACTAGCGATGATCACATTGTCTTGCTGCCCAGACCCCTTGAGAAAGCCCAAACATGGAAACGTTGTCTTATCCCAGACAAGACCTTGAAATGATTGTACCTTTATTGCGCGAACCCCACACATCTTGTTTGTTTTGGGGTATAGGGCTTAGGGATGTATTTGAGGTTAGGGGGCTCCTTATATATATATATATATGTATATATGTATATGTATATATATATATATATATAGTCATGGGTATACTATAGCAGTCATAACCGCACACCCTAAACCCCAAGCCGGAGTAGCTGACATGCTCTGAGGGGCACAAGAGGTGGGGAGGCAACCTTTTGAGGCTGCAGGACTCTTGAAGTCTCCATTGTAGTTCCTTCTGTGGGCTATATATCTTATGGGATCCTAAACATGAAATTCGCTAAACCCAAAAGGAACTGCAATGGAGACTATAAGTAAGGCAGAGGCTGCGAAGACAGAAAATCTGGCGAAATGGCTGTCAAGCTCTTCAGGCAAAAAATCTAAATTGCTCGTGTGCCTCAGGTTCTTGTCTTCGTCGCCACCGCTTCTTTGTGGCCATGCTGTTCCTTTTGCCCCTGCCGCCCAAGGACGAGGCCTTTAAAGCTTCGGTTCAGGTTTCAGTCTTTGGGGTCTAGATCACTGTCGAGTCCTTCGGCCGGGCTTAGACAGTTCATATAGGGGCCTAAATAATTACCAATACCATTTTTGGGGGCTCCTTGCTATAATTATAGAATAATATACCTCAAAACCCTATTCTAATTATTAAGGCCTCTACATTAGCTCCGTCGCATGAGACATCAGAGCCTAAACCCTAAACCCTGAACCCTAAACCCTAAACCCTAAGCTTGAAGCCATACTCCCGGGTTCTTCGGAGGGAGGCTTCGGTCTTTGGGGTATTGCTTTCTTTGAGAATGCTGTAAGCGGTTGAGGGTTTAGGGTTTAGGGTTTAGGGCTGCGTTCCACTTTTGGACCGGAAAGCTCTGAATGAACTGCAGTGCAGGGTTTCGGGTTTAGGGTGAAAGAAGGGCCCTTAATAATTAGAATAGGCTTTTGGGGCCCATGATACTATAAGTGTAATAAGGAAGTCCCGCAAAAATAGAACAGCCTAAACATAAGGTTTAGGGTTTAGGGTTTACGGTTTAGGGCCGCAACACTCAGTAATTAGTAATCTTGTCCCCGTATAGACCCTGTATATGTAGTTGGATAGTGATATCCCCTCAAGCCCTTTAAAAAGTATTTCTCAAGGTCCGTACATTGCAGCCATGCCCTGGACGTCTGCGGAGGAACTGTTCCAACCGGCTCGGAGACAAAGGTAGGAAGTAAATATGGAAGCCTGAGCAAGCAACTTTCGTAGATAATGGCTTGGGGCCCTAAACCCTAAACCCTAATCCTTAGTAAGCAACTTACGTAGATACTGGCTTGGGGCTCGTTGATCTTCTGTTGGCTGCTAGCGTATTGAGGAACACCTCTTCGATCTTCCGAGTTTCCGATGCAGGATTTTGGGCAACGAAGGGGTTTAGGGTTTAGGGTTTAGGGTTTAATGTAGGAGCCTAAGTAATTACCAATACTTTTTTGGGGGGTTCCTTATGAAAAGTCTAGTATAATGGGCCCCAGAACCAAGTTCTAATCATTAAGGCCCCTATATAAGGGGATAGAGTCTCCATAACTTATTGTGTTGCGCTCGCCAACCAAAATCCCAAACCCCCCTAACCTTGGACCCAGGACCTTGCATCCTAAATCCTTAGCCTAAGACCCTGATAGATCCCTGACAGGACCCTGATAGTGACAAAAGAGCCACAATGCAGCCACAATCTCATACAGGAGCTCTATAAATACAGATACTTAAACCCTAAAGCCCTAAGCCCCAAACCCAGAAAACCCTCAACCCGGCACCCTAAACCCTCAAGCCCTAAGCCCCAAACCCAAACCCAGAAACCCTAAATCCTAAAGCCCACAAAGCCCCAGACCCTGAAAAAAAAACAACCCAGAAAACCCGAACCCTAAACCTTATAACCCCTAAACCCTAGACACTCAAACCTCAAACCCAGAAAACCTCAAAACCGACCCGAGGCAGTCAGGGGAGGGTTCCGCGCACACGTTGGGCCGCGATTCGGAGCAGCCGAGCACGAGGGCGTGAATTTGGGTTTAGGGTTTGGGGTGTAGAGTGAGGAGGGTGAAGACTGAAATCCGTTTAGGGGTTTACGGCTTGGTAGTCCTTTAGGACCATAGGCTTTTATTGGGCTCAGAGGCTTGAAGCTTTAAGATAGATAAACTCATAGAATGACAGAGGGTCCATATACACTACCATTATGGAATTAGGCCCCAAAAGACCATCCCTATTATGGTTTTGGGGACCTAATTCCATAATAGTAGTATATATGGACCCTCTGGGAATGATACTGACGATTCGAGACTCAAATCCCCTCCTTGAAACTCCCATACAGACGTCGACGTGGATACTTCTCTAAATTAGGATCCCCTGTAGGGTCCTTGTTATAAGGGTGCCGCACTATTTTGGGGGTCCCTAAGTTGAAATACGTACCACCCAACTACAACCAACAGCAGTTGTGCCGGTTCGACATCGGTTTCCTTCTTACGGTCTAAACCCAAGGTGTAAGTCTCGATTTTGTCCTACTATTATGTTCCCCCCCGAACCGAAAGCTATCCTTGTTTTAAGGCCCCGTGTAATGCGGAGGAGCGAACCCAGTGGTCTACAAAATCAGGTTGGTATCGGGTTTAAGCTTAGTGGTTTCGGGGTTCTTCGCAGCAAAACAGGGATCTAAAGCAAGACTGAGCCCGAGTACTTGAATACCCAAGCTTGAAAGCGGATGAATTTTTGGAAAAGGAAGAGCTGAGGTTTAAAGCACATCAGAACCTGATCCTCCGAGGTCTCCCAATTTTTGTCCGAGAAAGTACTGGCGCAGTCCATACCCGAACTCTCTGTTTCAAAATAGGCCAAAGGCCTTAGATGGCGTGTTCTTTGGGTCCCAAAAGCCTGTTGAAGAAGAGCCCCGGAAAGCCTTAGGGGAAGATTTGCACAAATTCACGCTGGCAAATCGAGCTGAACCCTGAACCTTGAACCCTAAACCCTGAACCCTGAACCGAAGAGACCCGGAAGCTCCAACCCTAAATCCTAAACTTTAAGTTACCATAATAAGGAAACCATATTATTTACCATAGATCCCTATTATGGTAACTTAAATTAAATCCCTTAACAAGAACCCAGTAAACTGTAGCACCTTCAAGTCGCCCTTAGGGTTCAGGAACTATAGGGTTTAGGGGTTAAGGTTTAGGGCTTAGGGTTCAGGGTTTCCGGGAAATTCAGGATTTCCCCCAGACCGAACCTCTGAACCTGCAGCGCAAAGCCATGTCCCGAACCTAGCACACACTGCTTTCTACACCCTAAACCCTAATCCCTGGAGCCTATAAACCCTAAACCCTAAACCATTAAACCAAAAAAGGAGAGCCTAAGCCCTAAACCCTAAACCATTAAACAAAAAAAAGAGCCTAAACCCTGCAGCCTAAAGCCCTAAGCCCTCAACCCTCGACTCCTGGCATTCACGTCTTCGTTGCTTTGTGCGACGCAGGGCCGGAAGGCTTGCATAGCCCCTGGCCTGAGCCAGGGGGCCACTACAAAAGGGGCCGATATATATATATATATATATATATATGTATATATAGGGTTTAGGGTTTAGGGTTTAGGGTTTAGGGTACAAATACTAGTTACTATTCAAGATTATTACCCTTGTAGTAGAATGTCTCCGAAGCTTTGGTCAAAGTATTGAAGCATGTTTGCCCTGCGATCGTGGGTGCGGATTTTGCCCCGCGGTTGTTTGTGCGGACCTGCCTGTTCATACCTTCAGTTCAGCTGCTGACACGCAGCAGGTGTTGGAACGATGCGCACCATGCGACGTCTGGTCACGGAATCTGGTCGAATCATGCAGAGCTTTTCAGGACGACTGCCGATGTTCATTCCAACCATGCGCGTCACCTGCAATTCATCAATCTCCCTGACTGCTTTGTTCGCTTTGTTGGTGGGCAGCAGGAGTGTACTGGCTCCAGTTGCATCTCTTTGACGATACCTGCAGTGATTTTTCCTCCTATTGCAAGCTAATTCCGACTCCTTTGTTCGGGGGCTGTGTGGCTTTGGGTTCAGGTGTTGGCAATCCCACACAGCTCGGAACTAATGGACGCCGGGCTACGGGCCCGAAGCAGCATGGTCTAGTATGACTACAACTTGAAGTCTCTTCTAAAGGGATCCCCTAAACCCTGTACATCCTATAATTAGCCTTAAACCCTAAAAGCCGATCTTCTAAAGAGATCATACAGCCCATAATTACCCCTAAACCCTACACCCTATCTTCGAAAGAGATGCTTGCGAGCCATAGCATGGGCAATTGCCTTGCATCCTCGGGGTTGTTCTGAACGCCCGCGCTTTAGGGTCTAGGGTTTAGGTGTTAGAGTTTATTAATGTTGTTTATTCGTATTCGTATTGTTATTGTTGTTGTTGCTGAAGTGCATGCCACCTTGGCAGTGCTTGCTTTGTGTACATGTGAAGTTGTTTCCTTTGTTGCTCTTAGGCCCAAGCACAGAACGCCTTGAGCATGACATCTTACAACACATGTACCATAGCCGCAAGTGCCAAGCCCAAGTACCCAAACTTCAAAGACTTGCCTTGTTCTTGCGCGTAAAATCTCCGCCTGTTGTGTAGTGTTGTTGCTGCCGTTGTTGATACAACCTCAAAGCAGCTTCACGGCAGTGGCAGTGGAAGAGCAACCCCCGGCCGTCTTCAGGAGCAAAGGCCTAAAGCGTTCCGGCTCCTCGCAAGTACATCTTCGCTTGGTTGACTGGCTTCTGATTGTGCACGCTGTGCCGAAGTTAGGGGGCCATGATGACGTAGCATTAATGCGAGACCCCTAACACCACACAAAATCTTAACAGCTTAACACCAAACCGGACCGTCCAAATTGCAGAGCTGTTGTTGCAAACAGTGCTGGTTCGCGCCTACCAGGAACCCAAAACTGTCTCCGGTTGTGTTCAGGGGCCAGAATACACCTCCTAAGCGTCCCACTTATAGTGGAACCCTTTGTTAGGGTTTAGGGTTTAGGGTGTAGCTGTAAGGGAGCTGTTCTTGGGTTCCCCGTGTAAGCCAAGTCACAGTCAGTACCAAGTTTTTCCTCCAAGGGTCCAAGTGTGCCGACTAATCATAGTATGATCACCCAACCACAATCTACATTTCCACGATCAAAACTCCTAACCCAACAACCTAAAAAGTGGCGGCTTTTGGACCGTTAGGTTTATGCCACTGCAAACCGACCAGTGTTGGTTCTGCTGTGACATTTTGAAATTGACGACGTCTCGAAGGGACACCCGAGGCTTCTGAACGTTCACGTGGGTTGATCTGGGCTTTGCAGGGCCGGATCCCTCAAGCACGCGCTGGTGGTTAAGGGGTTCGGGTTTAGGGGGTTTGGGTTTAGGGGGTTTAGGGGTTTAGGGGTTTAGGGTTTAGGGGTTTAGGGTTTAGGGGCTCAGGTTTTGGGGGGTTTAAGGGCTTGGGGTTTTGGGGCTTCGGGGGTTTAGGGCAGATCGAGGTCTAGAGCAACCACGCCGTCTTCCGCTAGGCTCTTAAAAAGAGCAGTCTAGCAGACCAGAAAAAGAGGAGCGACGGAATTCCGGCTCCTCAATACGTGACTGGCTGAGAATTGTTTTCCGCGAACTTGCTTCGGTTTTTTTGCAGGCTTGGCAGAAACTAGGTGGCCAGGATCATGATGAAGCCTTGATGACTAATGCGAGACATTCTTAGCATCTCGACAAGAAATAAGCCACATGTCCCACAGCCTAACACGCTCAGCTCGTGAAGCTCTGATGCTTGGGATGCCCGAAAGGCGTTCAATGGCAGCAGCGAGCTCGGACTTTGATTCTAGGGTTTAGGGTTTAGGGTTTAGGGGAAACCAAGCCGTCCACAATGTGGAGTTCTTGAAAAGTTGCTGGTTCGTGCCTAGCAGGAACCCAAAACAGGCTCGGAATCTACACACCGTAAATATTCCAAATGTAACGGAACCCTAACGGAGCTGTTCGTGGGTTCCCGGGATAAGCCAAGGTTCAGTCAAGTGTCTTTCCTGAGGTTCAAGTGCCGACTAATCATATTATGAACATCCAACTACAACGTACATTGGCACGATCCAAAACTCCTAACCCTCATTTACCTACACAGTGGCGGCTGTTGGACCCGTAGGTTTATCCCACTGCAAACCGACTAGTGTTGGTTTTGCTGTGACATTTTGACATTGACGACGTCTCGAAGGGACACCCGAGGCTTCTGAACGTTCACGTGGGTTGATCTGGGCTTTGCAGGGCCGGATCTTGCTACACATTTAGCGGTACTATCCCTGTATAGTCCCTAGGAGCAGCCTCATTCAAGAAAGTACTGTAAGTAGAACATGTCGACGTCGAATCGTCATCGAATCAGTCCGGGTAGTCCTAGCAGTTTTACCTGGGGGCCGACTGGTCCTAAACGAGCCTTGGGGTTTTAGGGGAATGATTCCTTCGGCCCCTCCCAGTTTGTTGTTGCGTTTCGTTTGTAGAGTGGGTGGGTTGGGCTTCGGGATTCCGGGATGTATTGTTTAGTGGCTTTTGGGTGAATAACTGTTACGGGATTTGGGATTCGGGGACTGTTGACTTCCCGTATAAACCCCTAAACCGATCACAGCCCTGCACTGCTCTGACGGGAAGCACTGGTGAGAGCCAAGCCGTTGTTGACGGCGCCGCAGAAAAGGGCAACCGTCAAGGTTAGGATTACGCAGCCCCAATAAGACTTATCCCCTCTTCCCTATAATTAGGCACTAGGACGGGCTAGGATATAGGATAGGATGGGATACGAGAGGACAGACTAGGTATATTCGGAGACGAAAACAGCATAGCATAGGCCCCTTGCATCACTTCGGGTTTAGGTCTTTGGATCGGGCTGGTTGAAGTAAGCCGTGCTGGAAAGCTCTCTCGCGCTCTTTCTCTCTCTCTCTCTCTTTTTTCCTCTCTCTCTCTCTCTATATATATATATATATGATTGCATTATATGTTATATATGTCGTGCATACTTACATGTGCGTACATATATTTATCTACATGCACACTGCTGCA